GAAAAAGAAAGAAAAGGAGAGAGAGAGAGAGAGAGAGAGAGAGAACACACACAGAGAACAGAGCGAGAGCGAGAACACACACACAGAGAACACAGAGAGAGACACAGAGAGAGAACATAGAGAGAGCAAGAACACACACACACACACACACACAGAGAACACACAGAACACACAGAGAGACACAGAGAGAGAACATAGAGAGAGTAAGAACACACACACACACACACACACACACAGAGAGAGAGAGAGAGAGAGAGAGAGAGAGAGAGAGAACACAGAGAGAGAACAGAGATTTTAAAAGAATAAGGTAATTGAGAATGGTTCCGTACACCTTCAGCCTCCACAGGCATCCATCCACAGCTGCACATGCACCCCCTAACTCCTTTGCCCACACATATGCACACGCCACTTACAAACATGGAAAAGAAAAAAAAAAAAACAAAGTTGAAAGCTGTCTTCTGAGTTAACAAGAATTCTGTCGATTCATTCATAAGTTAATGACGCACTGCCATTTGAATTGTGTGTCCTTACATGAGAGTTTTAGGAAGATGGGTGTCGAGGCCCCGGTTTTGAATATGACCAGATTTGTGCCAGGTTAGCTAATGAAGTGGATCTCTGTGAGTTCGAGACCAGCCTGGTCTACAAGAGCTAGTTCCAGGACGGCCTCCAAAGCCACAGAGAAACCCTGTCTCGAAAACAAACAAATAAAACCAGGGTCCTGTTAGATTCCATCACAGAGGCAAGCATCCACTCACCTTAGCCCTCGATGTGAAGCAAGACTTGGGAAACAGATGTATGGGAAGATGGGTCGCCAGGAGACGTGGTCGATCCGGGCCCTTCAGTAGTTTCTGTGAATCTTTATCTTCAATCCATAGAAACCTGGTGTGACTGTTGACAGTTTGAACCCAAGTAGGGTCCCCTTTGGAGAGAATGAGACTGACTATCTCAATCATCCAGTGTGTTCCTGGTTGGGGGACAATGGCAACAGTCAAATTTTGTGTTCCGTTAGCACAGTAAATAAATGTTTCCTACGTTCAATGAGGAAGGCATTTTATTTGGTTGTATTCCTAGATTTATCTTTGGTGTTTCTGTGTATATACAAGCAGCTGACCTCCAAGTGATTTCATTATACTTTTTAATCCTGGAAAATCCTTCCGCCCTACCTATACGGGCAACGGTCTAACAACCCAATTCCTCACACCCACAACTCTGCTTAAAATTATTCACCCACAGTATCGCCCCTCTCTGCTTTGCTTTTGCTTTTGTTCTACTATGTCCTCCACCTTTAACACCCTCCAATGTCAGTTTTTTGTATGTTGTTTGTTTGTTTGTTTGTTTGTTTTTGTCAGCTTGACACAAGCTAGAGTCATCTGAGAAATGGGAACCCCAATGGAGAAAATCCCACCATCAAACTGGCCTTTAGGGAACCCTTCGGGGAATAGTCTTGATGAATGATGGGTGTAGGGGGGACCAGGGCACTGTGGGCAGTGTCACACTGAGTGAATTGTCCTAGAATGAATAAAAGGGAAAGCAGGATGAGCAAGCCAGGAGAAGAAGCCAGTAAGCAGCACGACTCCATGGCCTCTGCTTCAGTTCCTGCCTCCAGGTTCCTACTCTGTCTGAGTTCCTCCCTTAGCCCCAAAGTCTAGGACTTACGTAGGATTCACAGATGGTTGTGAGCCACCATATGTAGACACTGAAGTCTCTGCAACTGCTCTTAACAGCATTTCCATCTCTCCAGCTATGCCCCTCTTTGGTTCTTATTTTTTCCATTCAAATTATGTTGAGCAGGCTTATTAAAATGCATAAATACTGTGACAGAAGGTGATGCAGATACTGCACAATTTTATATCATTTTAAACATATCGACCTCCTCGAATTAAGATCATATCTTCGTGTTGACCTTTGTGTGAACATAATTTTTTTCTGCATTTTTGAAACAGCAATCTATAGCTGCCCCTCATGTCCTCCTTATCCCTCCTCTTCTCCCCTTCTCATTCTCCTGGCTCCTTCTCCCCTCCCCCTATGCTCCAAATTTGCTCAGGAGATCTTGTCACTTTCCCATTCTCCAGGGGATCTTGTGTGTCTCTCTTAGAGTCCTCCTTGTTTCCTAGCTTCTCTGGCGGTGTGGATTGTAGGCTGGTAATCCTTTGCTTTATGTCAAAAATAGTAAAAATGTCAATATTTCCAAAAGCAATCTACAGATTCAATGTGATCCCCATCAAAGTCCCAGCAAAATTCTTCACAGACCCTGAAAGAACAATTCTCAACTTTATATGGAAAAGAAAAGACCCAAGATAGCCAAAACAACCCTGTACAATAAAGAAATTTCTGAAGGCATCACCATCTTTGACTTCAAGCTCTATTATAGAGCTATAGTCCTAAAAACAGCTTGGTATTGGCACAAAAACAGACAGGTAGACCAATGGAATCGAGTTGAAAACCCTGATATTAACCCACACATCTAAGAACACCTGATTTTTGGCAAAGAAGTTAAAGTTATACAATGGAATAAAGAAAGCATCGTCAGAAATGGTGAAGGCATAACTGGATGCTGGCATGTAGAAGACTGCAGATAGATCCATGTTTAGCACCATAAACAAAACTCAAGTCCAAATGAATCAAAGGCCTCAACATGAATCCAGCCACACTGAACTTATTAGAGGAGAAAGTAGGATAAGAGATACCTTAATAGAGGGAGCCATTATAGGTTTAAAGAGAAATCAGGCACTAGAGAAATGTCTGTAGATCTACAAAGATGACACCAACTAATCATCTAAGCAACAGATGAGAGGCTACCTTAAATGCCCCCCATAATGAGATTGATGAGTAATTTATATGCCATCCTATAGCCCTCATCCAGCAGTTGGTAGAAGTAGAAGCAGACACCCACAGCTAAACACCGAGCAGAATGGAAATCCAGTTGCAGAGAAGGAGGAGTGATGAGCAAAGGGGTCCAGACCAGGCTGGTGAAACCCACAGAAACAGCTGACCTGAACAAGGGAGAGCTCTTTATTCCCAGACTGATAGCTGGGAAACCAGCATAGGACTGATCCAGACCCCCTGAATGTGGGCGTCAGTGAGGAGACCTCGCAAATCTATGGGGCCTCTTGTCACATATCATTACTAATGCCTAGCATAGGAATGGACTTTGGGATCCCATCCCACATAGAGGGATACTCCCTGAGCCTAGACACATGGGATAGGCCTCGACCCTATCCCAAAGGATATGGCAGACACAGAAGACCCCCTATGGAAGGCCTCACCCTCACTGGGGAGCAGAAAGAGTATGGGATAGGTAGGGTGTTAGTTGGGGGGGCAGTGGAGGGGGATGGAGAGGGAACTGGGATTGACATGTAAAACAACCTTGTTTGTAATTCAAATTAAAAAATAAAAATGAAAATGAAAAAGAGAAACTAGGAAATACCCTTGAACGAATTGGTACAGGAGACTGGCTGCTTCGTGAACATAACACCAGGAACACAGACACTGAGATCCACAATTAAGAAACGGGATACCCTGAAACTGAGAAGCTTCTGTAAAGCAAAGGGCACAGTCAGCAAGACAAAATGGCAGCCCACAGACTGGGAAAAGATATTCACCAACCCCACATCTGACAGAGGGCTGATCTCCAAAATATACAAAGAACTCAAGAAGCTACTCTCCAAAACACCGAATAATCCAATTAAAAAGTGGGGTACATAACTGAATAGACAACTCTCAATAGAGGAATCTAAAGTGGCTGAAAGACACATAAGAAAGTGCTCAATATCCTTGGCCATCAGGGAATTGCAAATCAAAACAACTCTGAGATACCATCTTACTCCTGTCAGAATGGCCAAAATCAAAAACACCAATGACAGCTTATGCTGGAAAGGATGTGGAGAAAGAGGAACACTCCTCCACTGCTGGTGGGAGTGCCAACTTGTACTGACAATGTGGAAATCTGTATGGCAACTCCTCAAGAAAATGGGAATGAGTCTACCACAAGATCCAGCAATTCCACTCTTAGGCATATACCCAAAAGAAGCACATTCATACAACAAGGACATCCATTCAACAATGTTCATTGCAGCATTATTTGTAATAGGTAAAATCTGGAAACAATCTAGATGTCCCTTAACTGAAGAATGGATGGAGAAAATGTGGTACATTTACACAATGGAGTACTACTCAGTGGAGAAAACAATGGAAGCTTGAAATTTGCAGGCAAACAGATAAAACTAGAAAAAGCCATTCTAAGTGAGGCAACCCAGTCACAAAAAGACAAACATGGTATGTACTCACTCATATATGGATTTTAGACATAGAGCAAAGTATTACAAGCCTAAAATCCACAGCACCAGTGAAGCTAAGAAACAAGGAGGACTCTAAGAGCAAATTTGGAACATAGGAGGGAGGGGAGAAGGAGCTAGGAGAATGAGAAGGGGAGAAGGGGAGAAGAGGAGGGGTAAGAAGGACATGAGGGAACAGGAAGGTTTAGTTGGGAGAAGAATAGAGGACAGCAAGATAAAAGACAACATAATAGAGGGAGCCATTATAGGTTTAAAGAGAAATCAGGCACTAGGTAAATGAGATCTACAAAGATGACACCAACTAACAATCTAAGCACAGAGGAGAGGCTACCTTAAATGCCCTCCCCTGATAATGAGATTGATGACTGACTTATATGCCATCCTAGAGCCTTCATCCAGCAGCTGGTGGAAGTAGAAGCAGACCCCCAGGCTGGTGAAACCCACAGAAACAGCTGACCTGAACAAGGGAGAGCTCTTGGTCCCCAGACTGATAGCTGGGAAACCAGCATGGGACTGATCCAGACTCCATGAACGTGGTGTCAGTGAGGAGACCTCGGAAATCTATGGGGCCTCTTGTAGTAGATGAGTACTTATCCCTAGCATAGGAATGGACTTTGGGAGCCCATCGCACATAGAGGGATACTCCCTGAGCCAAGACACACATGGGATGGGCCCAGGCCCTATCCCAAAGGATACAACAGACTCTGAAGACTCCCTGTGAAAGGCCTCACCCTCCCTGGGGAGCAGAAAGGGTGTGGGATAGGTAGGTGTTAGTTGGGGTGGGGGCAGAGAAGGAAGGGAGGCAGAGGGAACTGGGATTGACAGCTAAAATAATCTTGTTTCTACTTCAAATTTAAAAAATGGAGGAAAAAAGAAAGAAAATGGTGGAACTGACCTGAGAAAATATATAGATATTGGTAATTTGGGTGTGCATGCCCCCATAGGCTCATAAGTTTGAATGCTTGATATCTAGTTAGTGGAGCTGTTTGGGATGAATTAGGAATGGTCCTGTTGGAGGAGATGTGGGTTTTTTTTGGAGGAATTATGTCACTGGATATGGACTTGAGATTTCAAAAGCCTACAAAAGCCCAAGCCCCGTCTCTCTGCCTGCATTTGTAAATCAGATGTAATCTCTAAGATACTACTACAGGGACATTCCTGCAGGTCTGCCGCTCTGCCCCTGCCATGAAGATTATGTGATAACACTCAGAAACTGTAGGCAGGAACCCAAATATGTATTTTCCGTTATAAGTTGCTTAGTCATGGTGTCTGTTCACAGCAATAGAAAAGTAGCTAAGACATGGTTTAACCACAAAACCACCACAAGTAACGCACACACACTTTTCTTACCTGATCTAGGATAGGTCACTAAGATGACGTCATCATCTTTCATCAAAAAATTCTGAGCAAAAGACAAATTCTCCACAGTAAACAATCCAGGCACAATCTGAATCCCACTAAACCAGGTGATATTGTCAGTCATATTGACAGAGTTGTGAGCTTCGGTGAGGCTCCCCGAGATGCCTGGCTCACTCAAGTGTTGAATGGAAATGGCCCTTATATGCTTCAGAGGAGGCTGCTAGGAGCCCTTCTGCTCATGCCAAGCAAAGTGCAATCCACAGTCCTCTAGACTTCCCAGAAGAACAGAACTCACCCAAGTATGAGAGGTCAGATGGGTGGGATTTGGCAGGGGGACAGAAGTAAATGTGACAGCCCCCTTCAGAGTTTTGAAACAGTGTTGAGAAATCTTTTGGGGATAAGTAGATACTTCAACAACAGTGATTGTGCAACAGAGGCCTGAAGCCACTGGTGGACTGAAGCCAGGGTCTAACTCCTGAAAGACATTGGTTCCAGTCAAGTCTGCATTCCCATTTTATACTTTAAAACCACAAGCTGGGGCAGTCAAGCTAGCAAGATTTCAAGGATGCTTCCTGGCAGTCAGCGGGTCATCAAGGGCAATGACTCATTTTTTTCAGTTGCATTTCCTGGGTTTTTTTTTTCACCACTTGAAGTCATTCTTGGGAAATAGGCAATACAAACGGAGCTTTAAGTAATTAACAAAATCTGCCAATAGATCAATATTTAATAATTGGTCTTTTGTACCTTATTCTGCTTCATTCCCTCCTGTTTATCCTTCCTAACATCTTAGGAATCTTTCTCGAACATATGGGTTGACACCACCTGGTGTGTCATATACAGCTTTATTGTTTTTATTCTAGTTCCGGTAAAACTGGACAGAGTGTTTAAGGCGTATGCTCCTAAAAGAAGTCTTAGCATGATCATCATAAGAGGTCCGGTTAGCAGAGCCAGCCAGGGTCCCCATGGCGTCCATAACGTGCTTCATGGCTTCTTAGTTGTACCTCTACCCCTAACCTTTTCTAGAATTTCTTAGCATTTTCTCCTATTATTTCTGACTGGTCAGCGTAAAAATGGTATTCTTTAATTAAAACCATGGATACGTCTCCCTGTCAGCAGTCATCAAATCCTCTATGGATTTGGAGGAGCATTGCTGCCAGTGAATTCATCTGATTCTGAAGAGTGACTGTGCTTTGTTGTAAGTTCAGTTCCTCCAAAAGTTGTAATGCTTTCCTCTGGCCGTATGTCCTTAAACTGTCACTAGCTGAGGCCATCTGCAAAATGAATAGCATTCTGTTGTATTGGTGTGGGCAGTTCCATCACAGCAGGATGTAGAAGAAGGCTGTTGTATTCTGGAGTAGCCCTTCCTGGAGGAGATAAGAGAGAACCCCTCTAAGGAGTAGTAAGTTATACTGAGGAATGTCAAGGAATTGGCCATGCCCTGTGTCAAGGTTGCTCTCCAGACTAATTGATGTAACAGGCTCAGAGACACTGAGTGGGGTCTATAGCAAACTTGGTGTGGGTTTCGTGTGTCCATGGCTTGATACTTGAAACTTAAGAGCTAAGGGAATGCTGAGGGTTGGGCAATATTTTTGCACTGTCAGCTAAGTCTCTCAAGATCTGCTGGAGGTGAGTGTGTCCATACATTCATGGGTCTTCTGAGGTGTTTAAGAGCAGTGGACCTGGGTGGCCAGACACGATCTCAAAAGGAGACTAACCACATTTACAGGGCATGCAATACACCCTAAACAGTAAAAGTGGCAGAATTTCTGCCCAAGAGAGATCTGCTTCTTGATAATGTTTGATTGGTGTCATTTCCAAACTCTAATTAATCTCTCAACCCAAATTAATGATGGTAGCCATGAGCTCAAGCTCCAAGTTAATCCTCTCTGTGGGGAAAAAGGGCTTCTACTCAAAAGTGCATACCAAAACCAGCAAGTATTGGTCCACTCTGCTAGGTGGAATGTCATTGAAGATCACTTCTAAATGTTTAAATGGGTAGGAAAGATCCCTGTTTTTGTACCAGCTTGGGGGGCTTGGGTCTCTACTTGAGATTGTTTCACGAACACTGCAGACAGATTTCCAAACTTGTTTGGTTAGTGTAACCCCCGGACCACCTAAAATTGTTGCAGCTATCCTTGTAGGGTAGTTTTTCCATATGGGTTGTTACAAAAGCTTGCCAGACTATAATCAACTCAGTAATTACTATTTTCCTGTCTGTGGTAACCAGTCATCCCCACCCTGGTTTTCAGTAACACCTTCTTCACTTGTTCTTATTCTTCCTTCTGGCTTTTTTTTCTGGTGTATAATGAAGGCAACTGAGGTGATATGTCTTCATGGACTCTGACTTGGCTCTTTGTGTGACCCTAATGGTGAACTGGTGCCATAGTTCAAGGAGTTTGGGCGTGGGTAGACAGCATGAAGGAGCTGTAGGACTTTTTCTCTGTTTTAAATGTCATTGTCCTCTGAAGAAAGAAGTCCCTTTTCTCAACATGTTGCAGTTTAAATTATTTAGTTTTAAATGGCTATTCCTCCTCTTGGTCCATAAGTAAAATGTTCCATGCATGAATTTGAGAGCAGTTTGTCATTCACATCCAACCATGAGGACAAATCTCTTCTATAATTTATCCACAGTCATGGAAGAGCTCTCACTCTCTTCAGGCAAGCATATGGCTAGTCAACATAGTTGACATCCTCTGGAATGAAGAAAGGACCCAGATTTTCCCACAGTGTCAGGGAAGATGTCTGTGTTATTAGGTGGTCTTTTGCTGTCTTGTAACCCCATGATCGTAACAATAAATCTTTACTCCATCCGCCCGAGCCCCGCTGCCATGTAGGCACCCAGAATAACACTCAGAGTCTTATATCAGTTTCCTACATCCAAAACAGCTGAGATGATGCAGCCTTGCAGACTACAAAAACAAGGATTATGGCCAGATTTCTGTGTTTTATCATGATCCCCATGGTATGGACATTGTCCCTGGGCAGCAGGAAGCAATTTGGAATTAACAACACCCAAATTCCCAAATATTGTTTATAAGTATTTGTTTTCATTTAAATGGGGTTGGTTACAAATGGTAATGATCACAGTCAATCTGTTTTTAAAGGAAAAAAAGAGGAATAGGATATGGAGATGAATATATTGGTATGGATTTTCATTTATTCATACAAATTTAAGGTCAATTTTATGATATGCATAATTAAATACAGATTATATAGTCACCTATAATAGTCAGAACTTATAATTAAGTTAGTTAGGTTTTCTAGATAGACTGAGATGTATTTGAGATGGATAGATATTCTTCAAACCTTTCAAAGACCTACAGAATATGCGGCATTTAAATGTTTTAGGATTTTTCTTGACAGTGAGATACAACTGCTCCTGGCACACAAATTATGTCAGAAAGGAGGATGGGCAATGAAGAAATTTGTTACGTAGTTTGCCTTCAACATGGCAAGATTAGACATTTGGGCGAGAAACTGCTCTTGCCTGGACTGTTTGGTGCTGTATAAACTGGACATGCAGGACCCACAAGAAAGTGACTCTTGATCTTACAAAACAAGATGAACAGTCCTGAAGTGTTCCTGTTGAAATGGAGAAGTGTGCCAGACACACTGTGGCCTATGGGTGACTCTTGATCTTACAAAACAAGATGAACAGTCCTGAAGTGTTCCTGTTGAAATGGAGAAGTGTGCCAGACACACTGTGGCCTATGGACTGAAGATGGATGCCCCAATGTTACAGAGGAATTTTGGGTGACTGTCCAGGTAGAGAGATGTCTCTGTCAATTCTAGAGTTTTTATATTATCCTTCTGTGGTCTTTGATGGAGTTGAAGATAGATAGTTATGGTTATAGTTTTCTTCAGTTATTATAAAAGATTAGTTACCCTTCTTTTTACTTAGACAGAAAAGATGAGATGATGGGGGAGGTCCTTCTGTGTATATATCTGTCTAATTGGTTGATAAAGTACTGTTGACCAATAGGAAAGCAAGATGGGTAGGACTAAGAGTTGAGGAGGATTCTGGAAAATGTAGTAAAAAGAAGTCTTGTGATCCAGGCAGGAAGTGGCATAGCAGGCAGACTCATATATAAGCAGGAACAAACAGGAAGTCGCCCCTTTTCTCTTGCTCTCCCTCTTTCTCCTGCTCTCTGCTCTGGAGCCACCATGTGATCCCTGCAAGAGAAGACGACTGCAGCTTGCATCTGATAAGTCTTTATGGTTGATACTTAAGACTAGCAAGCATATAAGAAACCCTAGTCAATTGGCCAGCAGCATTGTGAACTAATATAAGATTCTGTGTATTATTCTGGGCATCCACGTGGTGGCGGGGCTCAAGCAGATGGAGTAAAGACTTACCATTACACACGGTAAGGCAATTGTAACTGTAATTCCTGTGTTACAGATTCCCCCACAAGACCTCAAGAAACCACAGTCAAATGCAGTTACAAAAGAGTCTCTAACTCCAGTCCACAGCCCCACACTCTGACTCAGCAGATGAAGGGAACACTCCCCTGAACTCAAGAGAGGGTGAGTCTTTAAAGGAATGGAGACCATAAGAAGGGGTTCCATACCTTGTGGGGTGGGTCAGGGGGTAAGAGGGCAAGTCAATTTTTAAAATTATTAGTCAGACCACTGATGGCAAAATCTTAAACAGCTAACAGCATATCCGTAAGTCCATTTGGAAATCATTAACTACTGACAGGATGCCTGTTGTACATGTATAATTTGTACCATTCATAGTCCTGTGTTGTGATATCTTGCTTGTTGTACAAAAAAGCTTGTCTGAAGGTCAGAGAATGGAGCATGCACTACCTAACCACAAATGTCTGGAGTTTCTGATTGATTGAATCTAGGGTGCTTGCTCAAAACAAATCCACACAAATCCCTAACACAAAATATCCAGGAAATATGGGACACAGTGAAAAGACCAAACCTAAGAATAATTGGTATAGATGATGGTGAAGAAATACAGCTCAAAGGTGCAGAAAACATATTCAACAAAATCAAAGAAGAAAACTTTCCCAATGTAAAAAAAGACATATCAATGAAAGTACAAGACGCCTACAAAACATCAAATAGAGTGAACCACAAAAAGTCCCCTCAACACATAATAATTAAAATACCAAACATATAGAATAAAGAAAGAATGTTAAGAGCAGCAAAGGAAAAGGTCAAGTAACATAAAGGCAAACCTATCAGAATTACACCTGACTTTTCCATGGAAACTCTGAAAGCCAAAAGGTCCTGAATAAATATTCTACATACATGTAGAGACCACGGATGCC